GTAAATTCCAAGCGATAGGAATCACCATCTCGAAATTTGCTATTCTTTGATCAACATGAAGAAATATCTGTCAAAACGTACGATTTTCAGACTCCAGCATCTTCATCGAACCTTACATTTTCTTTTAGTTTTTAAACATAATTACTACTCACAAATTGAATAAAGAGGGCTTCCAATACGGTCTCAAAATTTGTTCAACTCTAAACTCTTCTCCGGTTCCCTGAAGACATCACTGATTAGTCCATTTGCCGTTGATCAATCCCTTTTTGGGATGCGGCACGCATTCTACTTCCATTTGTACATTCGCAGTGGCATTTGAATGCGATGTGGCCTATACAATGACTTGCGGGGGCCAGCCGATGTTCAAGTCAGTGTTTTTTATCCTCCCAGACAAGTCTGGTACCAATTAACCGACCCCGGAGGGATGGAAGGCTTGGTTGGCCCGGGCGACTCACGACCCAGGATTTGATCCCGGACCGCTCGCGTGGTGAGCGCGCCACTTGCTGCTACACCACAACCACATCCTGGCCAGATATTTCAATACGTTTAATATCCTATCTATTTATGTTTATTTGTTTATTTATTTTCTCCTGATGGTTTTTAAATTTTATTTAATTTGTATTCGGGCATATTTTTTGCAATATGAACTTATTTTTTTGCCGAATGCTTGTGTCGTATTGAAGCGCTACAATATTATGATCCTACCTAGTGAATAGCATTTGCGGCGTTTAGGCTTGGAAACGGAGTTCGGATACATTTTCCTTACGTACAACAACCTGAGCCTCTAATCCTGCAGTTTAAATCTTGGTGATCTGATTTACTGATATGGACGCTTTTGCTCGATATGATTTACTTTATGGTGTTGTTTTGTTCTAAGATAGGGGCTTCTTGCAGTTATGATAAACTTAGGCTTCCATGAAGTGAACCAGTTTCAAGTTTAATTGGCTACACAATAAAACTTTACTCCAAGATCCTTAAGTGCCGAAATGCAATACAGTTGAGATACAAAAAAATCAGAACCGACAAACATCTTTTATGCTGCTGATGAGTTCGTACGGGAAATGTGCGAACCGAGGTCTCGTAGTGAATCACTTTTACAAACTTCGACCACTTATCGGAGTTTTTTTTTTCACTCTCGAGAGTTGCAAGGCGAATTTTCTTCACAAAATGCATGTGGCCATATGTAATTGAATTTTACGAAGCGATTTTGAACATGTGCAGGGCAATAAACTGCTTTTCCTCCCTTTTGGTGAAGTTGCCCTCAGATTCAAAAGCTCCTAATATTTTTTCGATGAAGGGTTTAACAGTGACCTCACGCTATAGGGGCATTTCTGTGCAACTTTCAAAGTGTTCAAACGCTGTCTTTTGCGGGCATCATTTTGTTCGCTGAAGGCATTGATGGTGGAGCATTTAAGGCAGAGTTTACGATTAGAAGGCAGCACATTAGAGAACGATGGAAATGCTGGTCACAAATTGTTTGCACACAGGAGAAAAAATTGAGAAAATGGGCTCGAAAATGAACCCATCGCAATTTTGATTTCTGCACATGATGCGACTCTCATCGCCGATTGAGTACGCTCTCTCCCTCTCTCTCTCTCTCTCTCTCTCTTCAACTCTCTCTCTCTGCTAACGGCTAGAGATCTGCGGCAAGTGATTAGCCAGTCGGTGGGCGTGCCGCGTGGATAGCGGCGCGAAGATGGCCATGCTGGATCGCCGGGACTAATCCTTGGGTGCGATTTGTGGGTCTGTCCGCACCCTCAAAAGGTTCACTTGTCTCCCTACTAGACAAGTTGACCCTTGACTACATAATGTCTTTGTCCTCATAATTTGGCCTGCCCCGAGTATAAGTTACCCACTTTGCTGTTTGATATAACCTATCCTTTTCCGAATTGAGCCGCCTTTCAGGGCAATTGGTTGTGTCGCCACTTCCTCCCCACCAGATTTTGGTTCCCGTTGTCCAGGCATTTGTTTTGGGTGCGTTGTGATGCGATCACTTTACACTTCGCAATATCTACAGCGAGAGCTTGGTTGCTGACAGATATCGCAATAGTCCGGAGGATAGGATAGCCGGGAAATCAGAGCGATTCACTTCTTCGGAAAGTAGATCAGTGGGACTGATAGCTGGGCAGGGTCACTACTGAATGCTGTTAATGACCAGCGATTCTCGGAACCCTGACACTGAGGAGATCAGCGATCAAATTTTGAGGGGTTCGAGCTCTGATTACAAACACAAGCTACAAACGAACACTGAATCATGCTGATGCTACAAGAGCACTAAAATCTGCACCCTACACCTTCAGGGATCTTTCTGTGTCGGGGAAGAGCTCCCTGATTCAGTCAGTTCCAACAGATAGGAAGCCGCAGCGGGAATTGAAACCTGACATGAATGATACAGCGGTAAAACATTCCCTATAAAAAGTCCATGTACGCTTTGCAGAAATCTTGTTTTAGCTGCTGTTTGGCCCAGTTCGCCTTGCGAAAGTCTGAGCTCAACTAAAGTGATACGGTGCTCCGGTAAGGGACAGGTTCGAGTTCCGCGTGGGGCGAAACCTTTGTTAATGACCAAATATTCTTGTGAGATCGATTCTAGAAGCCGCCGTCGAAACGGTCTCACTTTGAAAACATGGGAATAATCCCGAGATGAGGGACTGCTGAGTCGAATTTTACAAAGAATGGTGCGTCATGCGTCAGCGGAAGGGCGTTCACCG